GATACTTAGCAGTTCTCAATCAAGCGCTTGGGCGCGGAGACCTGTCGGTCGGAGCGACGCAAGGATGCCGGTGCAACAACACTGGGAGCCGTCTCGACTCCAACGGCGTCTGCTGCTGGTGCTAGCGTATCATCCGGCCTGACAGTGCTACTGTTGCTGCTAGCGTCCGGAAGTGGTAGAGGAGAATCTAGCACTGTCGGCGGGTCACTGGTCGGTGTAGGCAGCTGTGCGACCGCCTGGTCCGCAGAAGACGAAACGGGTACTTGGCCAAACTGCACCGCCCGCGGTCGTAGTTGGTCCCTATGGCGCTTCCAGACGACATCATCCACCTGTACTCCGAAACTGTGAGGGCTGTGGACATGCACTACAGTAGCTGGTACCCAAGTTGCTCCACGACCAAAGTTCAGGGCGAACACAGCGTCACCGGTGTTAAACTTTGGCGTAGTCAAGCTCTCCTGGTACACCTTGACCTGCCGATGACTCTCAGACTGCCGCAATGCACTGAGCCGGATTCTCGGTTGCCGGCCCATTAACAGCTCCGCCGGCGTCTTCCCACTGGTGGTCGGCGTTGTTCGATGCGCTAAGAGAAACCGGTCGAGCCTGACGTTGAGTGGTTCACCAGTATTCGACATTTCTTTCATCTTCTGCTTGAAGACGCCAACGTAGCGTTCGGCGAGGCCATTAGTTGCTGGATGACCTGGTGCCGTTGTTGTGTGTAGAATGCCATTGCCATCCAGGAACGCCTGGAATTCCGCACTCGTGAACTGACTGCCGTTATCTGTAACCAAGTGCTCAGGCAAACCAAACACAGAAAACAGATGGCGTAAAGCAGAAATCGTGGTCGCACTGGTTGCATGAGCCATGGGTATTACATCCAAGTACTTAGAGTAAGCATCTACCACCACCAAGAACATTTTTCCCAGAAATGGCCCGGCAAAATCAATGTGTATCCGTTTCCATGGACCCGTCGGCCATGACCAAACACCGGGTTTTGCCGGTGGGCATTTGGCATTCTCTTGGCATTGCAAACACGCATTGACTTTAGATTCTATATCCTGGTCAATATTGGGCCACCACAAGTAGCGCCGGGCCACTTGCTTCATTTTCACCATGCCAAAATGCTCTGCATGCAGATCTCGTAGCAAGAGCATTCGAAGTGAGTTAGGAATCACCACCCGGTTGTCCCATAACAAGATATCATTCTCCACAGACAATTCCATTCTCTTGCTAGCATATGCCTTGAGGTCTTCCTCAATTTCAGCAGGCCACCCATTAACCGTATAGCGAATTACTTTAGCCAATACAGAATCCTTTGCCGATTCTGCTCTCACCACAGCTGCTTTGATTATTGAGTCGTTCTCGATAAGCAAGACCTGTACCGTGACGGTCTCCTCCTCGCTCGGTGACACAGATTGCATTGGTTGTCGCGAGAGAAAATCCGCATGGACGTTTTCTTTCCCCGCGAGATACTGCATTTCGTAATCATATGCCGCCAGTTGCAATGCCCATTTCTTGATTCGATTAGAGGCGAGAGTGGGGACATCCTCGTGATTTCCCAGTAACTTCAAGAGTGGCCGATGATCAGTGACCACTATGAACTCTCTACCGAGTAGGTACTGGCGAAATTTGGTCACTCCGAACACCACAGCCAATGCTTCTCTTTCAATTTGAGCATAGCGTGACTCTGCTGGGGTCAGCTTACGCGACATGAATGCGATCGGTCGTAATTCGCCATTCTCCTGCTTCTGCAGTAGGACTGCGCCAAGGCCCACTCCCGAAGCATCCACTTGCAACACTGTTGGCCTTTGTAAATCATAGTGTGCCAGTAGGGCTTCTGAACACATAGCATCTTTCAATTTGCCAAAAGCTTGCTCGTGAGTGGTCTCCCAGTGCCATTTCCCACCCTTTTTCAAGAGGTCGTACAAAGGAGCTGCAATTTCTGCGAAATGAGGCACAAACTTCCGCACGAAATTTGCAGAACCGATGAAAGATTGCAATTCGGCAACATTCTGTGGTGGTTTGGCCATTTTCAGTGCCTGTATCCTGGCTGTTGAAGGGGAGACGCCCTGCCCACTGATCGTGTGACCTAAGTAAGAGAGTGCCTCAGCCATGTAACAGAATTTCTCCGGATTCAATTTGAAACCTTTCTCATCCAGTCGATGGAGTACCCGGTCCACGTTTTCCTCATGGATTTCATCATTTTCCCCGGTACACAGCACATCATCAATGTACCCGCCGCTGCCTGGTAGCGCAACCAAGGTTTCTTCCATTACCCTTTGGAAAATGGATACGGCACTGTGGAAACCAAACGGTAAGCGTTTGTACTGGTACAGGCCCTGAATTGTGTTGATGGTGGTGTATTTCCTGCTTTCCGGTGCTACCTCTAGCTGGTGGTATGCTTGGGACAAGTCGAGTTTGGTAAACTTCCCTCCCGGGCCCAACTTGTGCAACAATTCCTCGAGGGTGGGGAGTGGGTACTGTTCACATTCTGAATGCTTGTTAATAGTCCCACTGTAATCTGCGCAAATCCGTAATCCTCCTCCTGGTTTTTCTACTTGTACCGTTGGTGAGGCCCATTCGGAATGCGTCACTTTCTCAATCACCCCATCAGCCTCGAGTTTGTTCAACGCGTCGATGTACCGCTGTCGAATTGCTAGAGGTACTGGTCTTGCTCGTTTGTAGACCGGTTGTTCATCTGACACGTGCAGCTTTACTTGCACCCCTTGCACCGTACCCACAGTGGAGTTGTCAAACAGATTCGGGTATTTCTTAACGAAATCGGTAGTGGATTGCCCGCCAGTGCCCACTTTGAATATAGATTTCCATGGCAAAGTAAATCTGGACAAGACATCCCGGCCTAAGAGAGACGGACCATCACATTCAGTAACTCTGACCAGAACATTCTCCTCTACACCACCCAAAGCCATTTTCATTTCGATTTCACCCAGACATTTGATTGGATTTCCTGTGTATGTAGATAGGGTGATGCTGGACGGTACCAGCTCAGACACGGAGCCATTGCATTTCAGAAAATCATTTTTTCCTAGCAGTGTGACGGTGCTACCCGTATCAATTTCCAAGTGCACCTGGACCCCATTTAGCTCGACAGGCGTAGTGTACGGTGCTACAGCTCTGTCACTCATGGTGGCATTCACATTCAACATCGGTACAGAATCATTACAAGGAACAAGCTCACCGGGGTTTGATGTTGTCCCGACATGCTTGACGGACCTGGCCGCTTTCTTCTTTAGGCAGGCTCGTTCGATGTGTCCCAGTTTGCCGCAAGCACGACACTTCGCAGATTTGAAGTGGCACTCATCCGGTCGATGTCCCAGCTTGTCACAGCGGAAACAGGGCTTGTCAGATTTGAACGTGGCGTTGTCGGCGAGCCCCGGCTCTCCGCGTACTGCATGAACCTGCGTTGAAAACTTCTCAGACTCGCGGAAAGCTGTCTCATGAGCCGTGGCCATGTCGACAACCTGCTGAAATGTTGTCGTCTCCTCAGCCTTCGCCAGGATTTCCTTCGTCGTGCTGGTAGAACCGATCGCAGTGATGAACTGGTCACGCAAGGCCCTGTCGAGATAAGCTTCAAACTTGCAGTCCATGGCTGCCCGTTTCAATCGAGCCGCGAACATGATCGCAGACTCGCCCTCCTTCTGCAGGGTTTTCTGAAATTGATAGGTAGCAGCAACTACACTAATCTTGGGCTTGAAATAATCACAGAGGAGCTTCAGCAACTCTTCGAACTTCTTCTGCCCTGGTTTATCTGGGAGGCACAAATTCTTCAGTGTGGAATAAACCTGACCGGATAGTTGACTAATCAGCACGGCGCACTTTTTCTTGTCTGCCGCTGTCTGTACTGTCTCGGTTGCATCGTCTGCAACTTGGCCAATGTCATTAGCCAGAAAATGAAAATTGAGTCTCTCTGCATACTCGTCAAAATCCCCAGTTTCGAAAATTTCTAATCTGGAGTTGCGTCCTGCCATCTTCGTCGCCAATTGTTATGTCTGGCCCTAAGGGCCCACACACAGCATTACTCAGGTTCGTACAGTTATTGTAATAATCAAGGAACAGAAAGACAAGGAAAAGAGAGCTCACATTCTCGGACCTAGTCCAGCACAGCAAGCATGCAAAACCAGCCACGAGCCCAGGCGCGCATGCGCGCCTTATCACATCACGTACACAGCAGACCCCTAAGTAGTCAGCGAGTGGCTTTGATGGGGCCATACTAGAGGGGAAGTTACGCGGCATATTTGTGCTTCCTTTTTGAAAACACGTTCTCGCTCGAAGGGTTTCTAAACTTTATCCCTGCGCTCATTGATGGAGTTCATCGATGGAGTTGCCAGCGGCACTCTACAGAAGAACAATGTTGTCAAGTTTTTTTTATGAAAAATTGTCAAACATTTTCAAATTGCTTTAAGTTTGGTTAGGGTCGGGTTCCACTGCGGCTCCGCAGCTCCGCTGCTCCACGGTACTTGGCTGCATGCAGCAGAGCGGCGCGGTTCCAGTGACACTCGCCATTCACGGTACCGCGATCGTGCTCGACGTTTTTTGATGACATTAAGCCTGCCTGCGCGCGCGTGAAATCCAAAAAAATCCTCGTGTTCTGGTCTGTGCAACGAATTAAAATTCCCCCGAATAAAACAATTAAGTGCGGGAAACAATGCAAGCCGTGACCGCGGCTTGCATTTTTTTGTATCAAGCAGCGAAGCGAAAGCTGGTGATGAGCCGCGGCCTTGCTGGACCAGCTCGTAATGATGACGTTTCATGCCGTGGATGATGTGCGGCGGAGCGGCAGTGGAACCCAGCCCTTAGGCAAAGGAAATTTGTCACTAATTTGTTTATGCTGCATAGATGGAGAGCTGCACACTCTGGCTTATGGACTCTCGCCTACAGTGTAGTCGTACTGCTAGTGTACTGGCATTACAGAAGACACGAAAAACGAGAACATAATTATGGGGAGAAAGTAATTACTGGCTAAGAATTGCCCTAAGACTTACCGCTTCTCAGTGCTCCATACCAGGAAGTAGTACAATACCTACTCCCTGCTCCATACGAGTGTTTTCTCCTCATTCTCTGCATCCTTCACCCCAGGAGTCTCGTCCATTTAGCGGCTCAAATGCTTGAGCTCCGGATAGCGGAAAATAGCTCGTCGTCCATTAGCGGCTCTAATAGTACCTGGTCTGAAGTGTCGCAGTCTAGCAACTATGATTTTTTCCAGGAGGGTAAGGGTTGCAAACCCAAAGAGACCCTAAGCTTCGTCTATCAAACAAAACCCTAAAAAATGGAAGAGGAAAAGAGTGAGCGAGCTGGTCTGAGCGCGCTACTTTTCAAAAAATAGAAGCTGAAATTTGGGCTGTTTGCCGCACGCGGCAGCTGGATGGATCACGTGATCCAAGCTGACAAATAAGGTCCGATGGTTCAGCTACATTGAGCCACAAGCGATCTAAACTGCCAAGTATGCCTGTGCACAAGGAAGTTGCATTGCAATGTCAACGTTGCAATAGATTTAGTTGGGTGGAAGCACCTTGTCTGCCATCTGTGTGATGACCTCGGACAAGTGACTTGCCTGCTTTGCTATGTTCTGTTTGCACCATTTTGCACGATCTCCGATCTCTGCTCGCCCTGTGCATTATGGTTTTCACCTATCATCTTATTGTATTATCCTACTAATGTTCTGCTTCATGATAGAAAATCAGTCAGTAGTAACCCAGTGGTACGGTTGTTGGTTGTGAGAAAGAAGACGTCTGTCCTGGAACTGTGTGGTGGACGAGAGGTACATGAGTTTTGCATGTTCTCTAACAGCGTGGTGCCGAAACCCGGGAACCAGTTTTAGGAGAGATGTCAAAAGCTCAGGGATACTTACGCCCGTATCGCGGGAGTGAGGATGACTTCGAGACATTTTGGGCCAAATTCGAAGTGCTCGCGACGATCAAGGAATGGGATTCCGACGAGAAGAAAATGCCGCAGCTACCGCTGTTTCTGGAGAAGGACGCTTTCCTTGTCTTCAACAGGATGTCCGCGGACGACAGGAAGAGCTCCGCAGCAGTGAAGAAGAAGATGCAGGAGGCGTTCTGTGTCACACGAGCGCGAGCTTTCAGCTTGCTGACGAGTCGGACGTTGAAGATGGACGAGTCGCCCGACGCATTTGTTGCGGACCTGCAGCGTCTGGGCAAACTAGCTGGACAAGAGTCCAGCGATAAGGATGACAACAGTGTCATCGTCGAGCAGCTAATGGCCGGTATTCCGTCTTCTTGGTCTCGCCAAATTCGTCTGTCGATGGCAGGAAAGGCGCTCACGGTGAGTGGGTGCTTAGAACTAGTCCGAGCCCTCAAGTTTAGTGACGACGGTCGATCTAGCAGTGCGGAGTATGGAACTGGAAGCGCGGCTGCGCTTGGCCCTGCTTCGAGTTCGAAACCGACGAAGAATGTGATATGCTTCCGATGCAAGGAGCAAGGCCACATGAAACGTGATTGCCCGCAGGGTCAGCGCAAGCAGCCTGGACCATCGACTAGCTCGAGTCGCGCACGCGGAATTACGTGCTTCTTTTGTGACAAGAATGGACACCGTAAGGCTGATTGTCCTGAACGGAAGGCCTGGCAGGCCACGCAGTCAAGTAAGGGCACTGCCGCGGCTGCCGCCGAGATCGACGATGCTGCGCTCTGTTCTGTTGCTGTACCAGCGCTGACTGCAGGTGCCAGGCTCACTAGGATTTATGTTGATGTCTGGAAGAGGGGCAGTCGGGACAGTGCGCAACGAAAGGTGGCGGTCATCGACACTGGAGCCACAAGAACGCTGATGACCAAGCAATGTGCTATGGATGGAGTACTGCAGTTGGCTGAGTCTGGCAGTCACATCATTGCCCTAGATGGCCAGCCACTGGGCATCATTGGCAAGGCCAGCGTGTGTGTAGGACGACTGGACGGGTCAACCCCAGTTGCCATGCCGGACACAGAGGTTGAGGTGTTGGTGGTGAAGGACCTGTCCGTGGTACGTGCCGATTTGCTCATTGGATCGGACGTCGTCAGCCGGTGCAGGGGTCTACGTCTCAGCTATGATGATGACGGCGAGCTGGAGCGAGTGAGGTTTGGCACTGATGCGTGTGCTGCGTCTGCCGTGCATACCAAGCCTGTAGCCAAGTGCCAGGAAGCACATCCGTCAAGGCATGTTCGGGTCACCCAAGATGGCGACAACGTGACGTTGTGTGTAGACGACGGTGAGGTGCGTTGGTGCCATGACACGAAGCGTTGGGTGCTGAAGTGGGTGTGGAAAAATGGAAAGGCCCCACAGCACCCAGTCGGCCACGGCATCGGGCAATACCCACGGGAATCGCTGACTGCAGAGCAAGAGCAGCTATTCTGCCACGAGGTGGACACCTGGGTGGAAAATGGCTGGCTCGTCGAGCACGATGAAGCCGTACACGGAGCGATCGCCGGCGTGTTGCCACTGCTCGCGCATACTCAGGAGCATAAGGCCAGTACGCCAGTTCGGCCATGTTTAGATTATCGCGGCGTGAACAAGCTGATCCAATCGCAACCGGGCTACGAGGCTCCCGTCTGCGCGGAGAAGATCAGGAAGTGGCGGCAGACTAGCGGTGGTGAGTGGAAGATGCTCGATATCAAGAAGGCCTACCTCCAGGTACACGTCAGCCCAGAGCTTGCACGATATCAAGCTGTGCTGTGGAAGGAGAAAGTCTATCTCATGACGAGAATGGGCTTCGGCCTAGCGATTGCGCCTAAGATCATGCACATGATTGTGCAGTGGGTCACCCGCAACCACCCATCGGTTGACAACTATGTCGACGATATCCGCACCCCGGCTGGAGAAACGGAGCAGGTTGCCGCTGAGTTGGCTGCATATGGCCTGCCAACAAAGCCAGCTGAGCCACTGACGAAATCCCGTGTGCTTGGCATGCAGCTCAGGAACGATGACGACAACGACTGCAGGACCCAATGGACTAGAAGGGACATCGACCTGGAGCCACCGCCCAAGCTGACCAAACGTAGCTTGTTCGCATGGTGTGGGCGACTAATAGGCCACTACCCTGTATGCTCTTGGCTACGACCTGCGTGCAGCTATCTCAAGCGGTTGGCCAGTCCAGAGGGAAGCGCGTGGGACGATCCGGTATCCCAAGCTGCAGTGCAATGCTGTGCCAACTTGTGTATGAAGCTTGCTGAGGACGACCCAGTCCATGGCTACTGGGATGTGGTGGTGGACGACGACTCGGTCTGGACGGTCTGGTGTGACGCGTCCGACCTCGCAACCGGTGTTGTCCTGGAGCTGCACGACGAAGTCATAGAGGACGCCTGCTGGCTGGGGCCAAAGCAGGACAAGCGTCATGTCAACGTGGCTGAACTCGACTCAGCAATCAAGGGCCTGAGTCTCGTAACCAAGTGGAAGGCTAAGCGTGTGAAGCTGGTGACCGACTCAAAAACAGTGGCAGGGTGGCTGACCCAAGTTGCCGATGGCACACGGCGTGTGCGAGCTGGTGGCCTGTATGAAGTTCTCGTGCAACGCCGACTGCAAATCGTGGACGACCTCATCGCAACAACTGGCTTGCAGGTCCAGGTCGTCTGGGTGCCGACATATCAGAACGTGGCGGATAAGATGACCCGTGTGCCATTTCGCTGCCCCAAGACGAGCAACGACGTGGCAGCCGCTGTACCGGCTGGTTCCGCTCCTGTCGAGCTGGCGGGGGTGAAGCAGGCGCAGCAAAACGACGGCCAGGTACGTGCCGTCATGGAACAAAAGTCGGTGGGCATGCCTGTGACAGATGACGACTTCAAGGCAGTGCGTTCCCAGCTCTGCATCAAAGATGACCTTCTCTGCCGGAGTGTGAAGGTCCCTGCTGACGGTGTGGTACTCGTACCAGTTCTTCCTGGCGAGATGGAAGATGGCGTCATTCGAGCGGCCCATGCCGGGTCTGGCCATGCATCGTGGCAGACGTCTATGAGATCCTACGCCAGAAGTGTTACTTTCCGCACATGGCTGAGAAGTGCCAGCAGTACGTCAGCCAGTGCCAGCAGTGTCGTGCAGCCAACAGCTCCGGAAGTCAGTCCGTGTCGCCAACTCGACACGAGATTCCTGGGAGCCCGTGGAGCACAGTCGTGATGGACACGCTCGAGCTAGGACTGTGCCGCAGCGGCAGGTTCGCATGTGTCTTGGTGGTAGTCGATGTCCTGACACGTTGGGCAGAGATTGTCCCGCTGCGCCGACATGACGGGCCCTCGGTTGCTGAAGCATTTACCGAGCTATGTCATCGTTGGGGCCCACCGGACACCGTACGTATCGACAACGGCAGTGAGTTTGCGAATGCGGTAGTGCAGTCAGTCTTTGATGCCTTTGGAGTGACAGTGAAGACGGGGGCAGTGCGACACCCGCAGTCGCAAGGAACAGCAGAGAGGATGAACAGAACCCTTCTGACGATGATCCGGAAGCTGGCCGAGGACTCGTCTGATTGGCTGCAGGATCTCCCCGTCATGCTGCACTTTTACCGGACCAGGCCCCACGGAATGACGGGCGTGTCGCCCATGCTGGCCATGGTTGGCTGGGAGCCAAAGTCAATCATCACGGGTGTGACTACGGAATCAACTGTCTGGCAGCAAGCGCATGCAGCACGGTGCGCCCGACTTCGTGATCTTCTAGATTCCGAGCTGTCGAAGGTGGATCGCCAGGAGGATGAGCGTGACTGTCCGTTTCACGTGGGCGATTCTGTGCTACTGAAGCAGCCGTCCCGGCGTCAGAAGCGTCTCCCACCATTCCAAACTGGTTGGTCGGTGATTAAAGTGGTATCACCGTCAACTGTTGTGGTGCGCCGGCAGCCGCACATGGGTCAGGTACAGGAGAAGGTCGTCAATGTGGATCTCTTGAAGGCAGGCGGAGGAGCCCAGGCACCTGAATCAGTGATACCGAGGGCGGAAGTCGATGCGGAGGCGCCAGTTCCTGATGAATGTGAAGCTGAGTACGATCCAGATGCGTTGTGGCTTGGTGAATTGGAAGCTACAGGTAGTCGAGACAACGCTGGTGGTGATGGAGACAGGAGGATGGGCCTCCGTGACCGCCAACTCATTCAGCCGCCAGCCCGCTACAGAATCTAGTTTGACAGTGGAGGACACACTCGTTTTATACAGCTATGTCACCAGGCGGAGGGGTGAAGTATAATCGTGCTGTTGGTGACATATGCATTGCTTCGTGTGTGCTTAGTTGCTAGAGCAGGAACAGCTTTGAGTGGTTTGTTGATGTGGAGGCATGAGGTCAGGCCTTGTTACAGACTACCGCAATGGTACATGCTGCTTGTGCGATGATTGCATTGTGCCCCCTTAGTGATGTCTATTATTAGGGCGTTGGAACGTGATCTAAACTGCCAAGTATGCCTGTGCACAAGGAAGTTGCATTGCAATGTCAACGTTGCAATAGATTTAGTTGGGTGGAAGCACCTTGTCTGCCATCTGTGTGATGACCTCGGACAAGTGACTTGCCTGCTTTGCTATGTTCTGTTTGCACCATTTTGCACGATCTCCGATCTCTGCTCGCCCTGTGCATTATGGTTTTCACCTATCATCTTATTGTATTATCCTACTAATGTTCTGCTTCATGATAGAAAATCAGTCAGTAGTAACCCAGTGGTACGGTTGTTGGTTGTGAGAAAGAAGACGTCTGTCCTGGAACTGTGTGGTGGACGAGAGGTACATGAGTTTTGCATGTTCTCTAACAACCATGATCAGACGCCTACCAAACTAAACTGGATTCACACACTCGCATAAAGGAAGACTGAAGAGAACAGGGAGACTGAAGGAAGACAGGAAAGAAAATGCCATACCTGGAATCAGCGTTAGTAACCACGGCGGCGGCTGGAGCTATGGCGGAGGCCAAGCCAGGTTTTATCTTCATCTTGGTTGAGCTGGTCACTCAGAGTGGCTAGCTCGGCGTCAGACAAATAACCTCCCTCCTCGTCTTGAATCATGGTCTTCACATTGTCGATAGCATCGCTTTGCGCGACGTAAAGAGTGATGGTCTAGCCAGGAATAGTGTTGACGAAAATCTGCATCCCACCACGGAGGCGAAGTACCAAGTGAAGAGTGGGCTCCTGCTTTCGACTGCGTGCCGGCGAAAATCAAACGCTGCTGGTCTTGGGAAATACCCTCCTTGTCTTGGGCAGCAGCCTGCCTGTTGTCGTCCTCATCAGCTTCACCATCACCACCGGTAGTATACATGTAGGTAGCGGGTCGCTTGGAATCGCCATCGGAGTCTCCAGTGAGTGCCGTGCGGAGAGAAGGGTGATCCACGCTAGCACCCTGACTGTGCTGCAGGCTAATAAGCAGTGCCAGGCCGAGGAAGGCAAGAAACATGATTCTCATCTTGATTCGTCGCACGGAGCTGTAGCGGGTTGAGCCATCGGAGTCTGGGGTCGAATCACGTTGTTTTATTTAAAACTACACCGCTGCCACCAATGTAATGGGTAGCCGAGTGGTAGGCGCGGTGCAATTAACAAGAATTACTTTTATTCTACTTTGTTGTTGTAGAAGTTTATTTAACGTCGCACCACAAACAGGCGATTTCGCCTCCTTTGATACATGTGGACGACAGAAGGAATGAGAGAGAGGGGGGGGGGGACAGAAGTATGGAGAGAGGAAGGGTAGAAATAAATAAGCAATCAACCTCAGGGCTACACCAAAGCAAAAATGGAATGGGAACATACTATATACAAAATAGCTTCATACATATATTGCAAAACACGTTTACTATTCTTCAGTCCGCTATACCACAGAAACACACTAGCCGAAAAGCATTTAAACGGAGCCATGATTCTTTCAGGTACACACCTGAGATATAATTATTAGTGAAAGAAGAAGCGGCAAAATAAATAACTTTCTCTCCGGTGCTCACCTAGAGGTTGACTCCTTATTCTTCGAGTTAGTTTTCATTGCTATCTAATCTAATCTAATCTAATCAAAACAGAAAAAGCGCAGCTGCTTTTATGCAGCAGACGCCGTACGCTTATATGCGGAGATACACTAACTATACATCAGGCAAAGCTCCATATTAGTTCCGTACTACTTCCGTATTGGTCGGGCAGGGATACTACACCCCTTACCACCATTTTCAGCCAGCATCTGATACTGATGGGGTAGTGAACCCAGGACAGAAGCGGACCAGGCATCATGACTTTGCACATCTATCGTTATGCTGCTTCATTACGCGACCTGTTTTATTATTATTAATTTATTATTATTATTTTCTGATACTGATACAAGGCTGGAGATGGATCTATGTACAATGACAAGAGAATCTGATACAATGTAGACCAGGGTTACCAGCGTTACCAGGGTTACCAGCGTTACCAGGGTTACCAAGGGTACTAGGACTAAAAGGACCGTCACTTAATTTTTTGCTGACTACCTGCCAAATCTTTTCGTTTCACGTGTAAGAGGCGTCCGCGTACCTTTCACGTCAAGCAATCGGGTGGTGTCCATACTAAATCGATGATGCCACACCAAAGGGTAACTGCGAATTAGTTTTGCCAATGTTTCTGTTCTTGGAGATGGCAATGTTGCGTGACCAAAAGTTGTTGATTCTTCCCGCAATGAATTATATGTTGGACTCAGTAGAGCGTCCAGCCCCTATATGATGTCCAACCCCTATATAGAGTCCATTGGTCCAAAATCCACTGTACAGAGTCCAAACTTGGAATCAACTGAGAGCTCAAACTTTAGATGGGCATCACTCCCTGTATAGAGTCCAGCCAATTGGCTTCACCCCTATATAGAGTCCATTGGTCCAAAATCAACTGTATGGAGTCCAAACTTTGAAATCAACTATAAGGAGTCTTTATGTGGACAACTCTCCCTGTATAAAGTCCAGCCAATTAGGCATCCCCTATCCAGAGTTCGAAATTAGACATAGGACCTGCTGTAAGCAGTGAATATTAACCAGAAACCGGCCTCTCCCTTTAATCCTTTACATCATTCACTTCTCAAGATAAAATATGTAGTATTAGTAGTAGTATTTATTTTATTTACCATCGGATGCCTCAACAGTGATACACACAACTCTTAAGAGGGCCGACAACGGGATAAGTGGAAAGGAAAGGAAAAGAAAAGAAGAAGAAAAAGAAAAGAAAAAAATTGGAATTCAGACATCAAGCAGTACAGTAATCAAACACCAAGTCAACTTCAATCTTAGTACAAGAACTATCAAGATCGTCGAGAAACTCAACAGATTCCAAAAAGAAGGTCAAAATACTTCTTAAACGCCACTGGGTCTTTAAAAAGATCCCTGAGTTGGTTTGCAAATGTAGAGGTACGGTGGTGTCTGCGCCACTCGGCAGGTAGTGTATTAAAGAAAATTGCGGCACGATCAGAAAAAGAATTTACTCCATCAGTTGTCCGGTGCTTAGATATGGCAATGGAAGCATTAGAGTGGCTTCTAGTTCTAAGGCCTGTTGTGATCGGTGGAAATAATTCCGTTAGGGTAGGCAGTGAGATGATGACATGATTTCTATGAATAAACTGGGCAAAGTTGAGAATCATATTGAGGCGCCACTGCAGCCACTTCATTACATGAAAAACCCTACAAACACCATCCTCAAATCAAGTGGTCTCTTTGCAGACGCTGCAAATTACAATATCTCAATCATGTAGTGTTTTGCCGCTTACTAGTACGCGCCCTATCGTACTGCTCTCGGTTTTGAGAAAGACGCTGTCCCTGATTGTGCTGAAGAGGATACAGCCAGCGGTTGATCAGTACCTGGCTACATCCCAAAGTGCTTTTCGCCGTGGCCGCAGCACAAGTGATGTGGTGTGGTGCCATAGATGGCTATGCAGTATGACGCAGCGATTCAATACGTCCATCCACATATTGGGAATTGACATGAGTAAAGCATTCGACACTGTCCGCCGCGATGTCCTGATGAGGATCCTTGAATCCTTCCTCCAAGAAAGTGAGCTCCGAATGATCCGTATACTGTTGACTGAAACCTGGCTTGAACCTCGTGTGAAAGGTGCATCGAAAAGCTCCTTCAAGACAAATATCGGAGTCCCTCAAGGGGACAGTCTCTCTCCAGTGCTTTTCACCATTTACCTGGAGGCTGCTCTCCGGGACCTACGACAGGAGCTGCCATCTCGCCCTGCTGTGGACAATGACCTGCCGCTGGATATCGCATACGCGGACGATGTTGATTTTGTGAGCCGGGATGAGACGTTTCTCAGTGAAGTTGAACAACAAGCTCCAGCAGTTCTTGCGAGATGGAACCTGAACGTTAATCCCTCCAAGACAGAGCATACCACCGTCGCCCGATTTCCCGATAGGAACCAAGAAACGTGGCGTACTGTCCGCAAACTAGGCTCCCTCCTGGGTGACGCCGAAGATGCTGCTCGGAGGCGTCAACTGGCCGCCGCCGCCTTCAACTCACTCCTCAAGATCTGGACCCGGAGGCGCCAGATCAGTGAAGGTCTTCAGCTGAGGCTCTACAACGCCTACGTCATCCCAGTCCTTACCTACAACTGCGGCACTTGGGGCCTACCGATGTCGGAGCTCGCGCGAATGGATTCGTTCCACAGGACCCAGCTAAGGAGCATCATCGACATGCGGTACCCTAAACGAATTAGCAATGACACTCTGTATAAGCGCTGCGGAGCTGTCCCCATCAGCGAGATGATCACAAGGCAGCGCTACAGTCTCGCTGGCCATATCTTTCGTTTGGCCCCAACTGCTCCTCCACAGTTGGCAGTGGATATGTATCTTCGCCTGGCCAACGACGAGGGCACTGAACGCTTCGGGGGTCGACCCCGGACGACTTTGGTAACGGTCTTGCAGACGGAACTGTTATCATGGCATGGACTTACCCTCCACCAGCCGCTAGATGTTGACGCAGTGCGCACAATGGCAGCGGACCGACAGGCATGGCGTGGAGCCCGCCCCACCTAACGGGACTGACCAGACATGTTGTATGCATATTCTATTTTATTTTTATACTTTGGATGAAGTTTTCCATTAGTCATATTGGTGTTGTTGCTAACGGCTTTTGTTGACGTCACTTCTGTCATTTCATTGTATCGTATTACTCTTCAGACATCAATCCTGAATGGCATAAGCGAAA